CCACTGCTTATTCAGTGGGTTCATGGACACAGTGACCATGTAGGCAGAGACTTAGCCTTGTTTTAAGCAACTTGGACTTCCCCTTCCACGGTTGACCTGGCTTCTTTCCAGCATCACTAACCAAATGAGTCTTGCAAAAGGCACCAAATTCAGAGGAGGTCCTACACAGACACCTGGAAGCAGATTATTATATAGACTTCTTTCATCATGGAAGGGGATCAGTGATTTGTCCTCACTGAAAGAGACAATGCTTCTGAACTTGGATTTCTTTTCCCACCATGCCTATGCTCTCATGCTCAGACTTTCTGAATGGCATGTTCATCATCATGGCATTCCACACAATATTGCTTCTGACTAAGAACCTCACTTTGCACCAAAAGAAGAAATAAGGTGGGCTAATTTCTGTCCCTTAGAAGCAGCTGGGCTTAAAGAATAATGGAATGACAGTTGTAGGCTTGGTGATATTGCCTGCTGGAAGATACACCTGCAAGGACAATATGACTGTCCTGCACACACAGGCTATCTTCTGATCTCAAGGCCAATAGATGGTGTTCCTCCTGCAGCCAGGATACGTGGGTACAGGATCCAAGGGGATGGCATCTCTGATACGCCAAATGACCCACTTGCAAAGTTTCTGTTTCTGTTCCCTTCTCCTTTGGGCTTTGCGAGTTTGAAGGCCATAGCGACTGAGGAGGAATTCTTCTCCCAGAGGACTCCAGCATAGCTCCCTTGAGATCGAAATGGAGATACTGGCTATTCCAGACTCTTCATACCAGGGGCTGAAATTGCATGAAAGGTCACTTCTACTGTTGGCTGTGATGATAGTGACACTCAAGGGGATGTAAGATTGCCATCACACAATGGGCAAAAGGAGGCCCGTAGAAGCTAGCCGTGCTGGTGTCTCTTGCCGTGGGATGTCCAATGGGAAATAACTTTTTGTTAAAAAAAATTAACATACTCAGGGTGCCTGGGTGGCTCAGTCGGTTAAGTGTTTGGCTCTTGATTTTGGCTCAGGTCATGATCTCATGGTTCGTGGGTTTGAGCCCTGTGTTGGGCTCTGTGCTGACAGCTCAGAGCCTGGAGCCTGCTTTGGATTCTTGTTTCCCTCTCTGTCTCTGCCCCTCCCCCACTCATATTCTCTCTCCCTCTCTCTCTCTCTCTCTCTCATAAATAAAAAAAACCTTAAAATAAAAATTAACATACTCAGATCCCTCAGACATGAGGGTTATCTCCTGATTAGCTGAGATGCTTGATAAAGAGAAATGGAGATTTTGTAATATGCATTGAAGAGAGGAGTCATAAATTGGTATCGTTTTATGACTTACAGCTTTGTGACGAGTTGCAAAAATAATGAACTCTAACTTCTACTTATATTTTCTTCCTTGTTGTGCCTTATGTGTGTTTATATCTATTTTAACTAATTGCCTTGTATTTTAATTTTTCTTCTGTTTATATAAGATAAATTAGGACTAGACAACTTAATCTAGGAGATCAGAATATCGAGATGGGCAGTGGCAGAATGAAAGGAAGAATGACTGTCCCCCACAGGTGCTGGACTCCAAGCTGGACCCAGGAAATGACCTTTCAGTGTGACCCCTTGGTGAGGAGGAGTGAAGGTATTTTTCAAGTGTACAAGGCATGTTGCATTCTTTTTAAAAAATATCTTAAAAATATTTATTTATTATTGAGAGAGGGAGAGAGGGAGAGAGACAGAGCGACAGAGCAGGAGTGGGAGAGGGGCAGAGAGAGAGGGAGACACAGAATCTGAAGCAGGCTCCAGGCTCTGAGCTGTCAGCCCAGAGCCCGACGCGGGGCTCGAACTCACAGACTGTGAGATCGTGACCTGAGCTGAAATCGGACACTTAAAGGACCGAGCCACCCAGGTGCCCCAGGCGTGTTGCATTCTATTAAGTGCAAATATTTTTATTTTACATAGTTTTTATTTTCAAAAATGTTAAGAATAGTGAGAAGCACATTTGATGCTGGTAGAGACTGCTAATTCCTCCCCAAATCCATTCTCCTCTTCATCCATAATCACAGAACCTTGACTTCTAGCTGTGCATGTTGCCATATGGAATAAAAACTACATTTCCCAATCTCTCTTGCAGTTGCTTCTTTAAGGTAACTAAGTTTTAACAATGAGGGGAAAGCAGATGCATTCTGTGGTATTTCTGGGAAGGCTCCATAAACAGGAAAGGACAAGTGCCCTCTAGTTCTCCCCTGTTCTTCCTAAGGCCAGCCTGGGAAGTGGATGCAATGGTTGGAGAGCTGGCAGCCATATTGGGTCCTAAGGTAGTCTTGTGAATAGAGGTCTCACATGGTGAAAGAGAAATATCAGAGCCTGGGCCTCTGATGACAAACTATATTCTTTCAGTATAATAAGGTAATAACAGATATTTTTTTAATCTCCAGGCAAACACAGGGAAGACATTGATAAACAAGGCATCATTTCTAGCTGAAGGAAACTTACAGACAAGTGGGGTGACTGACAAATTGTGCAAGGTTGCCCTGTAATCACACAGGTGGTGCATTTAATCTAATCCTGAGTAGATGGTGGGTGGCATAGTCTGGGGAGACTTTCAGGAGGAAGTAACCTCCTTATACATGAATAGCATTTGGCTAGTTGGAGGAAAGTGTGGAAAGAGTTTTCTAGGTGTAGGAGAGTTAAGAGTTGTTTAACACTCTGTAACACCTGTTAGAGAGACAAGTCAGGGAGGTAAGCTTGGGTAGGGGTGTGGACTTTATCCTCAGAACGGTGAGGGACAAGTGAATATTATTAAGCCTGGGAGCAACATGGTCAGACTTACTCTTCAGAGAGCTCACTCCAGTTGCTCTGTGCAGAAGGGATTGAGGGGAACAAGATCACAGGTGGGGGATTATTTCCTCTCTATTTATTTTTTATTTTAGAGAGAGAGAGCATGAACACGTGAGCAGGGGAGAGGGGAAGAGAGAGAGAGAGAGAGAGGGAGAGAGGGAGAATCTTAAGCAAATTCAACGCTCAGTTCAGAGCCCGAGGTGGGGCTTGATCCCACAACCCTGGGATCCTGAACTGAGCAGAAATCAAGAGTCTAGATGCTCGACCTACTGAGACACCCAGGCACCGCGGTATTTCCTCTTCAAATGGCGATGAGAAGGGAAAGTTGGAGAAGCTGGAACAGGAGCCTGACGCCAAAGGTACACGTTGCCTTGGTGAAGCACCTGGAATATATCGGGAAAGTGTAAACACTAATTTGGAGGAAAAACAGGGCTGGATCCAGGCTCCGCGGGGCCAGTTTTAGAAAAACCCACAATTTCGCTTGAAGTTGACTCTACAGATGAGGAAAGGAGTCACAAGAAATTACTGGAGCCTTGGAGATTCGGGCCTCTTTCTTCTGTTTACCCGAACTGCTTGTCTGCAGTGCTTCCAGAGGTCAGCCTGGCATCCCCTCTCTGTTCCCAGCACTCCACAACTGCCGGCATCCCGGGGTAACCTGGAGAGATGGCCTGGGGTGTAAACTAAGTCAAGTTTTCTGTCTGGGAGCATCGATCCTGTCTGGCGCCGCAAATGAGGGGACTGGGGGTCTGGCGGACAGAACACCCCGCTGGCTGGGCTGGACCGGAATGTGAGGCAGCACACCCAGGGCAGTCACGCTGCACTCCTGAGTCCTGTGGCCTCCGTGGCGCTGACCCAGCCTCCCCCCGCCCACGCTCCTCGCTGTCCGAACTGCGCCGTTGGGAGGCGAGGGGCGCTGTGAGGGGCGCACGGTATGCGTCTCCGCGAGAAAAATGCCCCGGTTACCAGGTTACCACCGGGACCAGGCAGCAGCCACAGAACCATTCCCTTCCTCACTCGCGGTATGCGTGACCTCAAAAACACAAACTTTATCTTGGGCATTTTCTGGATTTAGAAATAAATGTCACCCCAGCCTGAGATTTCCAAGGAAAAGCACCACCACTTCATAGCGGAGTCGTACAGTTATACATTTTAATTAAAAAAAAAAAAAA